GACTTTGAAAGTAAAAATAACTTTAAATATAAAAATAACTAATTTTTTTTTAGTTCACCTTAGAATACCTTAAAATCTTTTGTCATTGCCGAGAAGCTAAGTTCTAGAAAAGTTAGCCTAAATTTTTTTCGGTTGACAAATTCGGGCAAGATAGGGACGAAAACATCTTCAAAAGATAAAAATGGTCAACTATTGTTGATTTTGATCGTTTGCAGATGTTTTTGTAGGTATCACTGTTTTTTGCAGATATATTTTTAATGCCAATTTTTGGATAATTCGAATTTTTTTAACGGTCCGCTGAGATTCGAATTATCCAAGTTTCACTGTTTATATACTCGACTTAAAATTAACTTTGAGAGCTCTCTAATGTAATCTTCAATTTTGAGATCCTCTATGCCAAACCTAGACTGCAATCTCTGAATAATTTTTGAACTCGATTGGAGGTAATTTAAATTTGCGCTTCTTCGGAAGTTTCTTCGAATATACTTTTAAGTACCCCACACTCCACTTCGCAAAACTCATTGTATTCTTTACTTGTAAGAGTTCCCAGGGTTGCGTGTCTATCGGTTCAGAGTTCAGCTAACAAACTGTCCAGTCCAAAACAATAGCAATTTTCGTAACTGCACTACCGTTCTGCGTTTTCGCAGAAATAATACGTTCTTAGTTTTCTGGGTTCGAAATAATACAAAATTAAATTTTAAATACATACAAAAAACTTACTTTTGTATTAAATTACACAAGTGTGATTTTATTTTAATACAGTTTCCCAAATTCGACTAACTATATCTATGCATACTATGCAATTCTAATATTATTATTAATATGAAAGATGATACTACATTCCCAGACGAAGACGTCGTAAATTTTAATTGCCTTACACTTACACCAGCAATCAGCTGGATATGCTGATTAGGGATTTTTGTTACTTGACATTTATTCTACTATGTATACACAAAACGTTCATTCATTTGGAGGTATTTTATTACTCACATTTCAGGCGACAATTCTGAATTATTTTTATACCCAAAAATATTTATTCCAAACTGAAAAGAAATTTGCAATTGTTTGAAAAACAGGTAAATAATGATCAAAAAAGGGATTATGGTAATTGGATCGACTATTTATGTCTAAAAACAGTATTTATAAGAAATCTAAAATATGTATATAACCTAACATTATTTTATTTTTAAGGCCGAGGGCATTTTTTATATCATAATCCTAATATTAACTAATTACAATTATTTTAAACAAAACTTTAACTTAAATATGTATATATACCCAAAAATATTTATTCTAAACTGAAAAGAAATTTGCAATTGTTTGAAAAACAGGTAAATAATGATCAAAAAAGGGATTATGGTAATTGGATCGACTATTTATGTATAAAAACAGTATAGAAGAAATCTAAAATATGTATATACCTAACATTATTTTATTTTTAAGGCCGAGGGCATTTTTTATATCATAATCCTAATATTAACTAATTACAATTATTTTAAACAAAACTTTAACCTTAATATGTACATATAACATTCTTAACTAATTTGAAGGACCTGGTGTACAATATTTCTCCATTCGCTTCTATTTTGTGCTTTTATTTTCCAGTCCCTCACCTTCATGTGTAAGGTCTTCCTCCGCTTTACTAATCCACCTCGTTCTGGGTCTTCCTCTTCTTTTGGGGCCGATTAATTTTCTGGTTATTACTAGTTTAGGCATTCTGTTTGCTGCCATTCTTTCCACATGTCCCAACCATCTGATTCTTTGTGCCTTGACAAACTTGGTAACGATAGGTTCTTTGTATAAAGCCATTAATTCATTGTTGGTTTTTCTCTTCCAACCATCTTCTATTCTAAGAAGCATGCTATTTAGGGTGGCAGTGAATAAAATTAAAATAGCTATGATGGCAACCAACGTTCTGAAAGGACATGATACATGAAGAAGAAAGAAGAACCATCTTCTGTCTTCCGTCCTCCGAATATGCGTCTCAATATTTTCCTTTCCCATCTTTCCAGAGTATCCTCTTCCTTCTTATTTAACGTCTATGTCTCACCGGCATATGTTACTGGGGGTCGAATTACTGTTTTATATATTCTGAGTTTACCTTGTCTAGAAACGTATTTTGAGTTCAGTAGGGCCTCTTAAACTACCTAATTTTTTATTCCCTTTTGCTATTCTGGCTTCGAGCTCCCATTTCTCTTTTCCATTTTCATCGAAAACTGCACCTAGGTATTCAAATTTGTCCACCCTTTTAAAACTATAGCTTTTACCACTTACTGACCTCACACTAAAGTCTTCTTTTTCCCTTCTGTCCCTCCCATAATCATATATTTGGTTTTGTCTTCATTTAGTTCCAATCCGAATTTCTGTGCTTCTTCGATAATTTTCTTCACAACCCTTATTAATTCTTTCTCGGTTTTTGCTAGGATCGTTAGATCGTCAGCAAATACCAAGCACTGGTGCTCATTTTTCATGATCGTTTCTTCCACCTTCATGCTGCATTTTCTAATTACAGTTTCTAACACTAAGTTGAATAATGTAGTGGATAAAGGATCTCCTTGTCTTAAGCCTTTTGCAACTGTAAATTGATCTGATATGTGACCCTGCCAAGCAATTTCACACGTAGAGTTATTAAGTGTCATTTTAACTAGCCGGATCAGTTTCTTTGGTATACCCAAATGTTCCATTGCTCGATACATTTTGACTCTATTGACTCTATTATATGCTTGTCTAAAATCCACAAACAAAACATGCAGGGGAACTTTACCTTCATAACAAGTCGTTTGTATCTCCTTTAATGAGAAGTTTTGGTCTACAGTAAATCTGTCCTTTCTAAAGCCGGCCTGATATTCATGCAGGATTCTTTCCGTGTAGCAATTTAGTTTATTTCTCAATATTCTTACCAAGATTTTGTATACCGTGTCTAATAGGGCTATACCTCTATAGTTGTCACACTTCAGTTTGTCTCCTTTTTTATGCAGAGGGCATATGCGGGCTTCATACCACTCCGATGGCATTACTTCCTTCTCCCATACTTGCACTAGTAGATGATATATTTTTCTTTGTAGTTGATCTCCACCAAACTTGATCCTTTCTATGCATATGTCATTTTTACCAGGACTTCTGTTATCTTTCATTTCTTGTATTGTTGTCACCACCTCCTCCTCTGTAGGCTGCCTTTCATCTATAACATCTTCTCCAACTGTCCAGTTGTCTACTGCTTCGTGGTCCTCCTCACCATTTAATAATTCTTCAAAATGTTTTTTCCATTCCGTCATTATTTCTGCCGGATCGTTAATTAAATTTCCGTTTTTACCTTTCCTATAACTACAGTGGCTTTGGTAACCTTTTCCCATCTTTTTAACTTCTTGATAGAATTACCTCACCTCTTTGTTTTTAAACTTCTCTTCTATCTCTTTTAATTTCAACTCATTGTGGTTTCTCTTTTTCCTTCTAGACATAGCTTTCAATCTTCCTCGAACAATTCTATATTCTTGTTTTTTAACACTCTCTATTATCTGTTAATATTTGTTGTCTGATTTTCTTCCCTTTAAACCAATCTTTGTTTGTACTTCTTTTGGAGTCGCACTTAACTATTTTCTCGCTAGCTTCTCCTACGGCAGTTTTAATTTGTTCCCAGGCTTGATCTATCTGTAAGTTTTGGTCACATTGTTGTAGAATTTTATTTATTTATTCTTCATATTTATTTTTAATTTCTACTTCCTTAAATTTTTCAATATTGTACTTTCTCTTCTTTTTATTGTTTGATTTCTCTTTTTCTTCCAGCCTCCTCCCACATGTGACTTTAACGAGGTAATGGTCCGAGTCGATTTCAGCTCCTCTCATACTTCTTACCTTCTGAACGATATTCATATATTTACTTTCAATCATAACATGATCTATTTGATTCACCGTCCTTCCATCTGGGGAGCCCCACGTACCTTTGTATATCTCTTTTCGCTTTAGTTGTGTGCTTCTCACCACCATTTTTTTCTCCATGGCAAATCCAATAAGTCTTTGACCATTATCGTTTGTTACTTTTGTAGTTACCAGTTACTGCAGTGTACAGAGGCTCTTTTCCCACTTTAGCATTACAATCACCCAATATTATTTTTACATCACGTTTAGGTAGGTGCTCGTATTCACCATTAAGCGTTTCATAGTAAAGATCTTTTATTTCGTCGTCCTTGTCTTCTGACGGTGCATGAATAATAATTATACTCCAATTCCTTTTCTTACTTTTAATTCGTATTGAACACATCCTATCAGAGATAGGATTAAAAGCTATCACTTTGTCCTTGATACATTCAGCTACTAAAAAACTAGTTCCAAGCATTCTATTTTTACCTCCACGTTTGAAAAGCACCATATCTTCTATATCAGTTATTTCCGATCCTAATTGTTTTGTCTCTTGAAGAGCCATTAAATTGATTTTATACTTCCTTGCCTCATTCATAAAAGGTTCCTCTGACATTCCATGTAGCTAAATGTATCTTGTCATTCTTCGGCTTTACTTTTGTATTACTATCTTGTTTTGTTTCGTTTTCATAGTTCGTCATCCTTTTCTTCGCACTGTTTGTCTTCATTACTTTCCTTTTCATGCTGGTGCTTAGTTTTTTGCTTTGGTCTCTACCACCAACGTTTGGTTCATGCCATCCCAGCGCCATATTTCCTGATCGGAATATATTTTCTTATATCCTACTTTCACTTTTCTCCCTTCGTTTCTTAGTTCTTGTGCTTTCTGTCTGACATATTTCTGTACAATTCTGTCCTTCTTTGACAGGTCATCATTGATATAAACTAGACTTTTCTTCGGTTTCTTAATTTGCTTTTATTTCGTATGACTTTTCTTTTGTCCTCTTCCTTTTCAAGCTCAACCAGACAGACTTTTTCTCCCAGCTTCACAACCTTCTCTATTTGAACATCGACTGTTAATTCTACCTGCACAAAATTTTTATTTCGTGTTTTAGGGTCTCTGGGACGTTTGTATGTATGTTCAGGCCTTATATAACTATGTTTTTACGCATTTTTCCATTTTCCAAACTTTCAAGCCGTTCTTCTATTTGAAAAAGTACCTTTTTTAATTTTGTGTTTTCTTCTCTTAATGTTTCATTCTCTTGTCTTAACTGTCTTATTTCTTCTCTATATTCTTTTTGTTCTCTACGAATTTCACTGAGTTCTCTTGATTGATCTTCTCTCTTTATACTCACCCCTGTTATCATTTCCATATTTTTCTGTACATGTATAACATTAATTATTAATAATATATTTATAATAATTATTATAATATTATATTATATATAATAACAATTTTTTTCATATAGAATGTCAACAGGGGAAGTGTTTTCCTCAGAAAATTTCAGATTTTCATCTCATTTCTAATTATCACTCAAGTAAATATTCAAGTAAATACAAACTGTTGGGTTTTAAAGTTATTAACAAGTATACCTTTTTTTGTTAAAATAATGTATCTTTAATATTTTTTATCACAAACACCGGTAACTTAAAGAGCAAAAAAGTTAAGTGTAAATGTATGCCGCATATGTGGCGCCCTCTATCAGCTACATTAAAATATGTATTAAATTATAATTTCTGATGTTCAATAGCACCGAGTTATGAATTTTGATATATAAATAATATGAAGAATATATATATATATATATATATATATATATATATATATATATATATATATATATATATATATATATATATATATATATATATAGTTCAGTTCTCCTGAAACATCAAGACGAAGCAGAACTAATCTGATTTGACAATGGCAAGTGTGACCTTGCCGAAACGTCAAAACAATGGTTTTTCTAAAAACCAAAACTATTTAACGCGGAGTCAAACCCGGAAAACAACTGAAATCACATGTAGCTCCCGCGGAAATTTCAAATCCAATATATATATATATATATATATATATATATATATATATATATATATATATATATATATATATATTGTATTGGTGTATCAGGTAAGTACTGTTTGCATTCAGAGTAAATTACTCTTTTGAACATATAATGTACAACAACTTTTTTAAATATTTTTAACTCTAAATCTTAAATTCTTACTGCCGTGAGATGTCGTTCATGCCGAAATGCCGTCACATGTCGTTCCTGTAAGAGTTATGAATTTAAAGAACTTTGAATACCAAGAATACCAATAAGAAATCGACTGTTAATTCTACCTGCACAAAATTTTTATTTCGTGTTTTAGGGTCTCTGGGACGTTTGTATGTATGTTCAGGCCTTATATAACTATGTTTTTACGCATTTTTCCATTTTCCAAACTTTCAAGCCGTTCTTCTATTTGAAAAAGTACCTTTTTTAATTTTGTGTTTTCTTCTCTTAATGTTTCATTCTCTTGTCTTAACTGTCTTATTTCTTCTCTATATTCTTTTTGTTCTCTACGAATTTCACTGAGTTCTCTTGATTGATCTTCTCTCTTTATACTCACCCCTGTTATCATTTCCATATTTTTCTGTACATGTATAACATTAATTATTAATAATATATTTATAATAATTATTATAATATTATATTATATATAATAACAATTTTTTTCATATAGAATGTCAACAGGGGAAGTGTTTTCCTCAGAAAATTTCAGATTTTCATCTCATTTCTAATTATCACTCAAGTAAATATTCAAGTAAATATCAAACTGTTGGGTTTTAAAGTTATTAACAAGTATACCTTTTTTTGTTAAAATAATGTATCTTTAATATTTTTTATCACAAACACCGGTAACTTAAAGAGCAAAAAAGTTAAGTGTAAATGTATGCCGCATATGTGGCGCCCTCTATCAGCTACATTAAAATATGTATTAAATTATAATTTCTGATGTTCAATAGCACCGAGTTATGAATTTTGATATATAAATAATATGAAGAATATATATATATATATATATATATATATATATATATATATATATATATATATATATATATATATATATATATATATATATATATATTCAGTCCTGAAACATCAAGACGAAGCAGAACTAATCTGATTTGACAATGGCAAGTGTGACCTTGCCGAAACGTCAAAACAATGGTTTTTCTAAAAACCAAAACTATTTAACGCGGAGTCAAACCCGGAAAACAACTGAAATCACATGTAGCTCCCGCGGAAATTTCAAATCCAATATATATATATATATATATATATATATATATATATATATATATATATATATTGTATTGGTGTATCAGGTAAGTACTGTTTGCATTCAGAGTAAATTACTCTTTTGAACATATAATGTACAACAACTTTTTTAAATATTTTTAACTCTAAATCTTAAATTCTTACTGCCGTGAGATGTCGTTCATGCCGAAATGCCGTCACATGTCGTTCCTGTAAGAGTTATGAATTTAAAGAACTTTGAATACCAAGAATACCAATAAGAAATCGACTGTTAATTCTACCTGCACAAAATTTTTATTTCGTGTTTTAGGGTCTCTGGGACGTTTGTATGTATGTTCAGGCCTTATATAACTATGTTTTTACGCATTTTTCCATTTTCCAAACTTTCAAGCCGTTCTTCTATTTGAAAAACTACCTTTTTTAATTTTGTGTTTTCTTCTCTTAATGTTTCATTCTCTTGTCTTAACTGTCTTATTTCTTCTCTATATTCTTTTTGTTCTCTACGAATTTCACTGAGTTCTCTTGATTGATCTTCTCTCTTTATACTCACCCCTGTTATCATTTCCATATTTTTCTGTACATGTATAACATTAATTATTAATAATATATTTATAATAATTATTATAATATTATTTATATATAATAACAATTTTTTTCATATCGAATGTCAACAGGGGAAGTGTTTTCCTCAGAAAATTTCAGATTTTCATCTCATTTCTAATTATCACTCAAGTAAATATTCAAGTAAATATCAATAATCTTATTTTCTTCCGGAAATAATTAATCGACAAAATTTAATCGATCATTACATAATATTTTTTTGTCTATATATAAAAATTAAATTTGTTAAAAATTTAATAAAACGAATTGTTTTTATAGTTTATTCGTCTTCCGGGTTTGGACCGTGTCATTTGTGACTGACCCAAAAGTGGGTTCATCTCGACGTTTCGCTACAATTGTATGTAGCTTCTTCAGGAGAACAAAGAAAAAAGAATAAGAAATCAAAGGACAGGAAGATGGGTAGTTAGCAACGGTAACTCAGTTACTCAACGCAACCAGAGGCGAATACTAACTACCAAGATGGGCATTTGGTCACAGTCCCCGCCTCTCGACGCGTTAGTGTTCTGAGCTGTTGGACGTGAATCCCTGTCCTGGCATTTGGTTTTCACCTCTGGCTGCGTTAAGTAGTTGAGTTACTGTGACCAAATGCCCATCTTGGTAGTTAGTATTCGCCTCTGGTTGCGTTGAGTAACTGAGTTACCGTTGCTAACTACCCATCTTCCTGTCCTTTGATTTCTTTTTCTTTTTTCTTTTTTCTTTGTTCTCCTGAAGAAGCTACATACAATTGTAGCGAAACGTCGAGATGAACCCACTTTTGGGTCACTCACAAATGACACGGTCCAAACCCGGAAGACGAATAAACTATAATTCTGACTCTGGCCGTGGAAGCCTACGATTTCATTTGAATTGTTTTTATGTTTATATATTATGTAAAAACCAGTATAATCCCGCAGTAAACTTTACTGACCATAGTTTAACTTTCAACCACGATTATATAACGTCAGGGTGCCAAGGAAAAAAATGGTATACTTGTATATTTAAGACATTGTTCCGTTATACATTCATGATTGAGCATAAAACATAACATAGAAAGTCAAACTAAGAACGAAGCCACAACATTAACTGGGAGGGGCCGCCTTGCTAACAAAACCACGTGATTCGTTACTATGGTTACTGCATAACTCATAGACAATTGGAATAACCACAAAACTAGTTTTCAATGTTTGCAGCTTTTTCTTAAATTCGGCAAACGCGCATCTATTGCGAGCAAAACGACAAAAGAGGGAATGTAAAGGTAGTGGGGGCAAACATATTGTTAGACAGGAAGTGCGATCTTTAGAGGCCACATTAAACAAGGAAAGAGAATCTCTCCTTGTTTGACATCAAATTTAGATGGGTTATGTTATTGTTTGTCCCAAATGTCACATGAAATCTTCTTTATATTGAAGTTTTTTAACAACTGTGTCGCATTTTAGACTATTATCGTTAATAATTAATTAAAACTTTCTCGTCTACGACACATTCTGAAAAATATTATATAGCTACCGTTGATAAGTGTCGGAAAATTTAAATTTGGTGCATTCGCATTTCCGGATGTTTCCGCCATCAGAGGCCACTTTTTTGGTCTCCTTTTCGTAAGGATTAGATTCCCTCTTTTGTCTTTTTGCTCGATGTATTTAATACATCACTGTTGCCATCTACTAAATGATACGTGAACTTATTTTTTCATCTATTAAGTGATAGCTGAACTAATTTCTCACTATCAAAATGTCAACTTATGACGTAACATCAACAAAATCCCTAGTTTGCAGGTTTTATGTTTAGGTACAGTTAATTTAAAAATTACGGCAGTATGGATAACAAACATTTGCTTAAAATAAAGGTTTTTGGGTAGTTAATCATTTAACCTATAGTAAAATTCATTAAGCGATGCAGGAAGATCATGGAAGATGTAAACATTAAATCGTGTCCGAACCGGTATGAGCTACCGAAAACGTCGGCAGACGAAATAAAGATGGACATTTCGCTTAGTTTTTAAATATTTTTGAAGAACTGTTACTTGCATTTATGCATAAAGTATTCATTAATTTTATAAATCGGATTATTTTTTCACTTACTATGTATTCAGTGATAACATTAATTTATTTGCTATGCAATAAACACGAATATTTGAGAAAAGATAAAAAATAATAAAGTGTCATAATTATACTGTTACTTATCGGAACGAGTAGACTCATTTGGAACATCTTTAACAATTATCTGTTAAATTTATCGTTGTTTATATGCCCTGCATCGCTTAATGGAATAAGGTATAGTTATTTTGTACCTAAGTTCAATAATTATTTCACAATATCAATTTTTAGGCACGTTACCATGTAAGTTATGACATGGATTCATTTAAGTACAAATATGAAAAAAATACTGCTTTCTTTAGAAATGTTAACTAGATATCATTAAAATAGAAAGTTTACAGTTTACGTACATAATCATAAGTTGAAGATTTG